TCCTCTTTCTTTTTCTTTCTTCCTTCCTTCTCTCTCTCTCTCTTTCTTTCTTTCCACCTTCCTTCCTCCCTTCCTTCCTTCCTTTTGTACTGCTAGTGCATGCTAAGCAGGTGCTCTACTCTTAACTACACCCCCATTCTCCCAGCTACCCTCACCTCCAGTTCTTACAAAATAGCAAGTCTCACTGAACCTCTGCTTCTGTTTCCTTAATTTTGGAATAATCTGGTCTCAAGAGCATATGATCAAAGTTGAGCCCTTTAAGCAACATTTTACATAGTACTTACCACAGTACACTGTTCTTCCCAGTACACAGGAGGAATGGAAGCACCCTCCCTTGCTTCTGTGAATATCTCGCATGCCCTGTGCATATGGTAAAAGAGGATATGAAACTCACCAGTTTTTCTTTTTCTTTTTTCAGAGCAAATGAAAGTGTCCTCTCACTATCTTTATTTCTTTTTCCTCCTTTTTGCAACAGCAACTTATTTTTTTCTTACAGCACTCACACCAGTGCAAACCACTGGCTTTACCTTACTAAATTGGATAAAAGTTTACTTTTATGAGATGGAAATGGGGTGGCATAACTGACCATACTTAGAAAGCATTGTATGCATTCTTTCTTCAATGAGAGGCACTCACCTGAATCTGGACTCAACTATTGTTATCTATCTCTTATGCCCATGGGTTCCCCACTGCTGGTCAGGGGAAGATGGGCTGAAGTTGGTAACCATGAAGTAGAGAGAAGGTGGTTAGCTCCTTCTCAAGATCTTACTTCAGTAATACCACACTGTAGCCAACCAAGCTAACTAGGTGCACTTGTTGGAAAAAAAGGTTGTACTTTTGTGGAGAGTTATACCAAAATTTCTGCTTCAACCCTCAGCAACAGATTCTTTTGGGTGTTTTATTTAAAAACCTTTTGGGAAATGGACTGTACATGCAGCAAATAAGACTTCGGTTAAATGGTGACATTTGTTTGCAAAAGTGTATCAGAGGGTAAGCTAAGCTCTTCAGAGCATGTGTTCATTAAAGATTTGAAGTAGGGTGGGAAGCAATAAAAAAAAAAAGGCCAGTGGGTTCTCTTGTGAGATAGTTTTTTGTTCCTATGAATTGAATACACTTTGAAAAGTTTCAAAAAGAAACTGGGAAGAATGTATTTGCTTTGATCTAACATGTAGAGTGTTCCCTTCTACAAATGCCCTTTAATTTAGAAAAACTATTGAAAAATCGGTTTGAAAGTACATAAAAATATATGTAAATAAGCTCTAATTAGTTATTTCAATTAATTATTTTTTTGTCTGTACTTACAGCTTTTTTTTTCTTCCCATAATGTTGCTTTCAGAGTTCAGCTTTGGCACCTTCTGAAAACATTTTTTTACAGTCATTATTAAGAAAACACATTTTTCCCCTGTTGAAAATCTTACAATGATAAAGTCCCAGATTGTGTATCTTTATGGAGAATAGTTTCAGACATTTTTAGTCCATGATTTACTAGTGTGATATTTAAGGAAATCTTGCAGTTAATTGAAATAGCGGGTATTTCCTTCTTGAAATAGTTGGTATGGGTTGTTTTTTAGAAAATGAGTCTACCTCAGGTCACTAACTAGTCTTTAATCTTCTTTCCCAGAAATCCTATGCCCTTTGAAAGTCAAATACATTTGATCAGGAGGTGAAAAGTTATAATTCTAAGTTACATAGGATACTTCCCAGAAGAGATAAGAATGCTCTGGAAAAATATTGGTAAAATGAATTCAAGTTGCTTTTACTAATCAGTTCTTAGAAATTGACCAAGATTCTGAAATGTTGATTTTGGAAGCCTAGAAAGCAAACTGTGTGACAAAATTATGAGCTTATCTGCCTGCCCTCTGTACTTTTACTGAATAGGGTCAGTCTTTCAGAGCTTGGAGGGTACCTTTGAGATCATTTAGAAATCAGACAGCAAGACTTAGCTTTTACCCATCAGACTCTCTGGTGGAAGTCGCGGGAGGATGCTTGTGAAGTTTGGATTCATTGTCCCTACTTGAAATCTGCAAAATCAAAATCATCTTAGGGAAAGTGTCAGTATTTTTCACAAACATCTCTAGAAAATTCTAATGCCCATTGAATTTGACTGTCCACCACTTTGGGCTACCTCCTTTATTTTGTGGTGAAGAAGCAGGGTTTGAGAATTTGATAGGTCAGACTTACAGTATACCCTGGACAAGAGCAGACCCAATCTTCCTGACCCTAAGTACTGTGGGCCCAGAATAGGCACAAGCATGCAGACAGATTCAGACTTAACTTCAGGGCCACAAGAGTTATTTCAGCACCAACAGTAGGATAGCATGATTCTAGATAGGATAGAAAAGTGTGTCCTGCTGCTTTCGAGGCACATAGCAGAACCACTGAGCTAAATCCCAGGCCCTGTCCTGCTGTTTTTTTCTTAAACTAAAACCTAAATGAATGAATGCTAACTGTGTTCTCTAACCCTTCTTGCCTTTTATGAGACCAGAGACCTATGCAAAATTGTGAATGTTTAGTTCATTTAGTTAGCTTATATGGTTGACTCCCTAGCTTTAGACCTGTATGTCCACTTGATAGTGTTTTAGACTGTATCTTTCTCTTAAAATGCATATCTGTATATTTTGATATTTTCTGTCCAGAAAATTATAATATCTTTAAAATTATAGACTTATGAACCCAGTGGTACTTATGAAAGAATATATAAATATGCAGAAAATGCTTATTGATGTTTTTCATATCTAAAATTCAAGCAACCAAAAAGCTAAGATAACCTAATTCATTTTTTCAGGTTTCTATGGTGAGATTGAGCTTTAATGATGATCTTGAATTTCTGAAGATTATGATCACCTCCTAAGATTAGGAAAGGTTGAATTGTATTCATATCACTTTAATATTAACTCAGTTTGACTATCTACTAATTTTGAACTCTATCCTATGTATTTTAACAGCAGTACTAATGAGAACAGGCTGTTTCAAGGCCAAGTGACAAGGCTAAAAGGATCAATTTTGGAATAGCTATTGGAAATTAGTCTCTTTATATGCATGTAAATGGACATGTGCCTAACAATAAACAGATTATCCTGTCAACATAAACATTTATTGATTGTCTGCTATATATAAAAGCTCTTTGTTAAGTGCCAGTCATAAAAAATATTTCTGAGAAGTTTATAATATGGCTGCCTTGACAAGCCCATAAAAAGGTATGGCAGTTTAAGAAAGCACATGCTAAGTGAAAAGTGAGTGATGCATTTGGCAAGGACAGGAAACGGCAGTCCAATGCTCACAGCCCTGGGTTGTGACAGTGCCTGTCTGCTCTGTCAAATAGAAGCTTGTTTCATTCTTCCTTATCTTTCACACATTCTTTCTCTTTCCTCAGCCAGCCTGAAACACAGGAGCTTACAGTGATTCCGCTGCGACTTAATAGTAAAGAAATCCATTAGAGGATTCATTTGAAGCAGAATACTAACATATTTACTTCCTATCTTTCAATACCACTTATATTAAAAAACAATGGGGAAGGGGGGAGGGGGTGAAGGGAGTGCAGTGACAAGGGGAAAAAATGAGAACCAAGACCTGTCATGTAAAGGTACAAGATCCCAATAATGAATGTAACCGTACTGTACCTAAAATGTACCAATAAACTCAATAAAAGAAAAAAAACAGTAAGGTCTAATTCTCTTTCTGGAAGATGAAACATTAAACTGATTATTAACCCCAGTTTATTTGTGATAGAAGTTCTTTGGCTTTTTGTGATACTTTTACCCTTGGAGTTCATGTGGATCAGTATCTTCTTAGGTTGGCAGTTTGTTAAATAAATATGTTTAAGCACCTTACAAAGAAAATGGGGTGCAGCCCTGATTATTACATTGTTGTTATTATTATTGAAAGAGGGATTCAGTTTTGTGCTCACATCATGAAATAGTGTTATATCTCTTTGATTAATATTGTTTTTGTTACTCAACCCTGAAAAGTTCCACGTAGAAGAAGGATTTCTAAAATGAAACGTGTGGGTCAGAAATATCAGAATAGTGCAGGGCTTATATATTCTTGATCCCCTGCCAGGATTTTGTCCTTTAGTATGATTGTAATGGAATTTCCATATTCATCAGTATAAGGTAGCAGCTCCTATTGAAAGCAAAATAATGGTTACCTTGTGGCAAGGTCATGATTATTGCCAGGTTTCCTGATAGTACATGGAAAGTGCTCACAGAATTATGGACTTGCTGGAATATGAAATGGACATTAGCAGCCACTTGCCAGCAACCAGTGGTCTTGAATAATGGACCAAATTTGTCAAAGTAGAGAGCAGAGAAGAAGGTGTTGTGTAAGGAGAAATAATATGTGCTACTATATGGAGGGTAGAATGTGCACACTGTTTATCTAGGAGGAAGTGTGCAGAGTTCTTTGACTGGAATAAAGAGGTTATATTCCCACTGGAGATGGTGGGAGGAGAAGTTGGAAAGGTGAGATGGGGCCAGTCAAAGACCAGATTCCTTACACTGATTTTATAAGCAAAGGAAGGCTACATATCAGATTTTAGGATCATTTTAATGTCAGACAGGCTTTGAGCCAAATCCAGACTCTACCTTTTATGGGCTGAGTGACCTCAGACAACATACTTAATCTTGCACAAATCTTCATTTCTTCATTGGTTACACAAAGCTGACAGAATATGTGTTGGTTAAAAAATAGTCTATATGAGAAGCTACCAGCAAAGTGCCTAACGCAAATAGAGTTCTGAGGAAGGAAATACGGAAATAAAAGTGGGGTTGTAAAGAGGCAGTATGCAGAACAGAAAGAATTGGAAGAGACCCAAGATGGAACCAGTTAGGTGACATAGTAAACCTTCAGGAAATGAAGGGGTAGAGACTGTCAGACTAGGAACACGAGGAAACATCTGCATGTGTTCCCTGTAGCTTCTTTTACTTAACTAGAGGGTGGTGTAGGCTTGTTTTGTGATATTCAAAATGCAACAATCAGACTCCTTCTTTTGCCTTGAACAGGGTGCCAGCGATCTATCGGCCTTTCCAATGGGAAAGCCAAGGTGTGCAATTACAGTGGGTGGTACTACTGCAGCAGCTGCCATGTGGATGACAGCTTCCTCATCCCAGCACGCATAGTCCACAACTGGGATACTTCAAAATATAAGGTAGGTGTAGCACTGGTTGAGTTAATGATAGCAGTTCAGGTGTTCATATGTTATCAAACAAATTGTAAAGATGATAAAACAGTTTAAAACAAACTTGATTAGATAGTCTCATAAAAACTCAGATTTTATCCAATTCTTATATATCTTGAATTTTAAAGACTTCTTAATTATGACTCACTTGTTTTCTAATTAAAAAATATATAGCATGGGCCAGGGATTTAGCTCAGTGGTGCTGCCACCTGCCTTGCAAGTGCAAGGTCCTGAGTTTGATCCCCAGTACTGCAATAGATAGATAGATAGATAGATAGATAGATAGATAGATAGATGATAGATTACTTGTAGGCCTAAGAAATAATTTTACTATAATTCACTATAGGTACCAAGAGCAAATTCTATTGGAGAGAGACCCTCATTTTTTATTAGCTCTCACTGCCAGCATCATACTATGGGAAGATAAAAATAGGAAAATAATAAGTGAAGAAATATGCTAATACTATTTAGAGAAGGTTTATATAATCCAAGATTTTTGTTGGCTGTTTTCGTTTTTGAGACATGGTCTCATGTAGTTGAGGCTGGCCTTGAATTGCTCTGTAGCCCAGGCTGGCCATGAATTCATGGTATCCTCCTGCCTCAGCCTCAGTGCTTGAATTACAGACATGCACCACCACACCTGGCAATCCAAGGTATTCTTTCAATAGAGTAGCACCCTACTCATGCAAAGGTCAGTCTTTAAGCTCCCAGAGCTCTGGACCGGAATCGTGAGAGGAACAATGAGGTGCCTAGGTGGTAGTCCACAGAAGCATCAGTGTACTGAGCCACCCTCAGGCCTGTAAAGGAACTGGGTTGCAACCTGGCTGATTACATTGGATTATTATTTCTTAAAGAAGGGGAGCAAGTGAGAAGCATAAGTGTATCTGACAACTTTGCAAAGTAACTGCTAACAGACAAGAAGTACAATTAGCAGGTTTGTTAGCTATAAAAATGCACATCAACAGAGAAGAGAAAAATTGAAGATTTGCTGGGATATTCAAATTTAAGAAGATAGAAGAGGAGGAACCGGCAGGGGAGGCCGAGAGGCCAAGAAAGGGTGAGCAATGAGGTAGAAGGATCCAGACTGTCTGACAAGTCCTGTGAAGAAAGTTATCCCAGATGAATTGTGACAGTTGCTGCTAAGTCACGTAAGATGAGCACTGAGCATTAACCATTAGCTTTAGTAATGTGGAGGTAATTAGTGACCTTAATGAGAGCAGTTTGAATGGAGTGGTATGGGAGCAAAGGTCTGATTGGAGTGGATTCAACATAGAATAGGAAAAGAGAAATAAAAGACAAGAACAGGCAACTGCTTTGAGAAGTTTTGTGCTAAAGGAAAGGATAGAGATGGAGAGTAACTCAAAGGGAAGTGGGGTCAAGTTCTGTTTGATTTTTTGTTTTAGTGGAAAAAATAACAGCATATTTTTTGTGTGACTAAGAACTACCTAGGACAGAGGAGAAATGCTAGAATGCTGTGGTTGAGTCTGTGAGGATGGAATTCCATAGACGAGGAGGGTTTGGCCATGGCTTGGAGCATGGAATGAAAGAAAAAGCAGCAACTCTGAATGTGGCTGCCAAGGGTAGGTAGATGTGTTGTTGGAGCTAATGGAAGTCCTCTTTCCTTTTTATCAGTAGCTTTTATCAGATCCTATTATTTAAGTATCTGCACTCATCAAAAGGTTAATAACCTAGGGGCCAGGGATTTAGCTCAGTGGTTCCACCTTCTGCCTCACAAGCACAAGGTCCCAAGTTCGATCCCTGGTACCAAAAAAAAAAAAAAAAAAAAAAAAAAAAGAGAGAGAGAGACTAATAACCTACTCCCAACTGCTCTGGGAATTGCATTTACCTTCTACTTTATAAGTACAACTAGGATGATTAGACTTTAAAAAAAATTTTTTTTTTATTAAAGATTGCAGACATACATGACAACAAGAAATGAAGATACTAAATAAAAATTTCAAATATACATTATATATGACAGCAAAAAAAGGATATGAAATAAACAAAAATTTATGCAACACAGATAATCCAAATACATTAGTTTGATATGATCCTCAAACATTATATGTGCTTTCTCATTTTCTTTTCATATAATATTTTTGAAATAATGTATTTAAAATAAAACAAAGTTACATATTATATATAGTTGAGAAACAGTCCTCAAAATTTTATGATTTATAAACTCCTTGGTTTTATTAATTTGATAAATATCATATGCTTGTTGATTGTATCACTTACATTTTCTAACAAAACTTCTCACAGAAAAGAAATATACTTATATTTGAAATCCAAAAACAACTAAAACAGTTCACATTTTTAAGATCAGATTTTTCTGTTTCTTTTTTATTATATCCCATACTTATTTTTATTATATTTTTATAAGCATAATGATAGAATTTAACACCAATGCATATGTAATATTCTTCTCAAACAAATGACTATGAATTAAATCAAGCATGTAATTTAGAGAAATCATAAGATTGACAGAGAAACTATCAATATGCCAAATGTGCAAAATCCTACCACATTAATGACCATGTTTCTCATTTAATAGTGCACACATATGTGTAAAAACATACCCCCCACACATATACACAATGCATATTTTCTACAATACAATATATACTTTGGTATAATAAAACAGTGCAAGGGCTGAGGATTTAGCTCAGTGGCTCCACCGCCTGCCTTGCAAGCACAAGGACCCGAGTTCAATCCCCGTACCAAAAACAAAACAAAACAAAACAAAAAAAACCAGTGCAGTGATGTGTGGAATGTGGAATGTTTGTGATTTGTGTGATTTGATGAGACTTTTTAATTCCATCAACTCACCTGCGACTTGTCTTCATCCACATCCATCCTCATTGTCCTCCCTGTGACAGAAGAAACTTCACTCCTCTTACAGAAGATTTATTTCTTTTGCCTTTGTTTATAGTCTTTTCTCTATTACTTTTGCCAAGTCTGTTTTACCCATGGCAGTTATTATTTGGACTTGTGTAGTATACAGTATTGGATCAGATGGACCTCCCACACTCTCCTTGAATTCTCCCATTTTAGCCTTGATAACACACGCCTTGTTTTTCTTCCTCTTTTTAATCGACTTCTTTGACTCCCTGTTCTCTGTAATGTGCCTTCAACTTTATTACTGGGGTTCTTAAATTTTATTCTTTGGGTTCTTTTTCCCACTTTATACTCTGTTGGGTTATCTTCCTCCTTCTGTGTATTTTTTTAAATTAACTTTTATTGTATATGTTTACAGTACATAATGATTACATTTATCATGGGGAGTTGGTACATGTATATAACATTTTAGTTCTTTTTTCTTCCCTTCCCTTCCCCTCCCTCTTTGCTCCCTCCATCTATTGACCTTCTTAGTTTTAACAACTGGGATTCATCTGCTGATGTTTCCTTGTTTTTTATCTCCAGCTCAGTTTTGCTACTGAAATCAAGATCTATGGTTTTAATTTCTCAATAGACACCTCAGCTTTAGTTTTCATCCTAGTAGTCCTCAAGATATTTGAATTGGTTATCTATCTTGCATAGCATTTCCACCATTGTGTAAATGCAAACCCAGGAGTCTAACTCCCTACTAGAGTGCTACTTTAGGCTTAGGATTCTGTCACAGTCCAGTGTCTTACCCATATTAACAGAGAGCATAATGCTGTTACTTAATGGGCAGAACTTTTTTGCTCCTTACCAGATCATGTGACATCTGCCTGACATGAATATTCCATGCAAAGCATTTCATTCAAAGGTAAGCCCTATGGCTATTTTCATGCCTCCCGGCTAATAGATGCCTGAGGCCTGCACTGTAATTGTATCACTTGGGCAAGGGTTCTATAGCTGTCTAGGTAGAATCTTTGAAATCCAAAAAATGAACATGATTATTGTGATATGTTTTCTTCCATATTTCTGGGAAGATCTGTCTCCTCTTTACTCATTCACATCTTCACAGGCCCCAAGGTACTGCATCCCAGTCCTTCTTGGCATTTGACTCTGTCTCCTCCTGCAAGAAGAAAACTCCGTTAGTCTTTTCATTGAGATGGCATCTATCCTTCTATTCCCATCATGCCTGGCTATCTCACACCTCTTGGCTTCCTCTCCTCTCTCCCAGCCCAGCAAATCCTAAAACCTGCCTTAAATCTCGTTTCCTTTTCCTCTAATACTTTCCTTCCCTCTACTAGACAGAGTCATGCTCTCCTGCATCTTGTACTTGACACTCTAAATATAGTCTATAAAAACTTTGGACATGTGCACATCAGATAAAAACCTACTTAGTGGAAAGAAGACTAGTTGAGTTTGTTTTAGGGGTTTAGATGAATAGGCTTAGCAGAGGGATTTGATGGCTAAGTGTAGAGAAGAAGTGAGTGAGGCATACCAGCCCTCTGACTCCATTCGTTTAGGCTGGTGGCACTTGCCAACAGGATACATATCATTTAGTGGAGCAGAAGCAGAAAATGTGACATTGACTGAGAAAGTGAAAAACTGAGGCAAGGATTCTGAAGGCATGACACGAGAGACCCGACTCCATTTGCACTTAGTTATGAAGGCCACAGAAACCATTGATGTGGCTGTCACTGAACTTGTAGTAGTAGGCTGTTGTATTGTGGTGGTCGTTTAAGTAAATGGGTCTGATTTTGACAGAATAGATAACTAATTGAGGATATTTCTTATACACTCATCTGTGCTGCACATGAGGAAAATCTCCTTTGTCAGTTCACTCCTTTCCATATTCTCAGTGGCCCAGAGAAGATTCTAAAGCAGGAACATATCTGGCCACTTTTATCTGGATCATCTCACTGGCATTAAGTAACTGTATTCCATTTAGTCCAGTGTCTCTCTGTCTTTGCTCAGACACCAGCATTTAACTTAATGCTCCTAATTGTGAGGATCAATTTGGACCTATCCATTTCTAAAACCAGACATCATTCTGTTGGATCTGCCTACTGTCCTTAATGGCAAGTACGTGACTG